CTTTATATTTGACACTGAGTATCCCTAAGTCAATGTCTCCCTCCGTCCCTCCCTCCCTTTCCCCCTTCCTCCCTTTGTGTGTCTCTCTCTCTCTCTCTCTGTCTGTCTCTCTCTCTCTCACACACACACACACACAGGCACACAGGCCCAGGGACTAATCCAAAACAAAGGGGAAACAAACAGGAAGTCCTTGCAAACTGTTTGCAGTTAAGCCTTTCTTATCTTTTCTCCCTCTTCTTCCTCTGTAGTGTATACAGTGAGGACATAGGCAAGAAAAAGAAAAGATAGCCTGCTCTTTTAAATGGTTACCAACAACCCCCCCCCCCCAAAGAACAAAAACATGGGTGATTTGGTTTTCATTTTAAATATTTTCTCAAATTCAGTTCAGAGGGGTAAGTAACAGGTACACAAAGGCAATGAAGATGCAGGAAATTCTGCAGACAACAGACCGCCATTTGTGAAAGAGTCTATGTGGGCATGACAAGATTCAATACTTTAAGAAGATAAAAACAAATATATTTTAAACCCTAAAGGCATCATCCTTCAGGCTTCAATTTATTAGCACCTTCAATTAAAGAAAGCAGGAGTGGGTACCCAGGAGGCCCAGATATTTAATGTTATCATCAGCTTTGTGTGTTGTTGTTGTTTTTCACCACAGTAAAAATAAAATGGACAGGTTTCTTTTTGGAGAAAAAGCAAGATAAATGCAGCCGCCATTCTATTTTCATGCACACCGTACTTGGGGTGGGCTGTCCGAGACCTGTGATCTGGCTACAGAATGGGCCCAACTCCTGCTGCTGCTGACCCTGAGGTCAGCCCTTCTGTCCAGAGTGAAGTCCAGCCTTATCAAGCCTGTAGCTCTTAGCTATGAGCTGACAGGGATGGAAGAGATAAGGAGAAAACCTGCCTGCCCAGGCGAAAGGAGGTCACATGATTAAGCACACAGAAAAAAACATATCAGAATGTAAAAAACATCTATTTAAAGAGGAAGAGGACAAGAAGTTGCTGAATTCGGGGTAAGTGGGTGATTAGAGTTCCCAGGAAGCAATAAAACCCATGAATAACATGAATGGTTCTTAGCAGCATTGAATGTGCATCCACAACTCACACAGATGCTAAGCTGCAGGAAGCTTTCCCCCACCCACCCTTTTGCTTGCCTTCTGATCTGCTTCCCTTGCCAAGTTGATACCAAGGTCACATGGCCTTGGTGAATCTGAGGCTTACTCACTTAGCTATTAATTTGGGACAGTGCTGAATAAATAACCCGAGTCCCCAAAGGAACGCCTTATATGCAATCTAGAGTATATTTTTATCACTATGGTCACGCAGTTCTGAGGCCTGAATTAAAGTGCAGACCAAATTCAACCAAAAATATTTTATTTCCCAGTTCATTTTTGCTCTGCAGAACTAGACTGCCAACTCCTTTTCTTGCATTACTGGCACCTTAAGCCTTTGTTTCAGCCAGCAAAATAAATATTTGCATTAAGAGTAGCTTGCCTATTCCTATGTACTAAGCCCCAGTAAATCAGAACCTTTTGAGGCACAAATGCTATAGTCAGGATTGGTTCTAGAATATAAAAAACATACACTTTGTTTTTTACCAATCAAGTGATCCAGAAAGTATGGCATCCACACATGGAGATTCCATTTGGCTAAAATGCTTATTTGAAGTCATAATTGAGCATGATTTTCTATGCATGTAATAGGTACTTAAAATTTAGCATCCCCTTTTAAATATATAAAGTACCTGCATGTTTCAAAACTCTCATATCCACTTTATCATTAACAACCTTCATGACAACTCTGTGAGGTGGAGAGGGTGATTATAATTATTATTATAGAGGCCCATGGAAGTGGTAGAGAAAGGCTTTAAGATTTCCAATAGAGTGCTTTTTGCATTACTGATGTTTTTCTTTTTAATCATGTATTTCCTTAATATGGTTATAAATCACAAACTTACATTTTTTTGCATTGGAATTATTGAGATTTCCTGTCTACAGAAATTGAAACAATTTGAGTACTACCTTGATTAAAATCTTAATGTGTCAAAGAAAGTTAAAGATATAAAGTGCCATGGAAGGGTTGCCATGTAGCACAGACCAAAAAAAAACCAAAAAAAAAAAAACCCACTGTTTTTTCAGTTATCAGAAAGTGAAAACGATTATCTTAATAGTACAGTCAGTTACCTGAAGAATCACAGGGGAATATATGCTGTCAAATCTCTGTTCTCACCTACCAGGTTACAAATGGAACAAAAAATAAAAACGATGAAAAAGGGATCGGGCAAAATAAAAATATGTAATATTTTGGGATATGTGTGTAAGAGAAGGTTCATAATTGTGTTAATGAAACAAAGTACACAGAACTGAAATATGTCTCAAAACTTCCTGTTCTCGAAATATAATGCAGTCTCCCCATTGTTGAGAGATTCTTTCAATCTTTCCCCACATATTTCCAATATTACCTTCAGGGTTTATAATTGTTCATGTACACAATAATAAATAATATAGTTATACTAGTGGTGGTAAAACTGCCCCCATAGTCTTCAAGAAGCAACATACTTAATTAAGCACTATTTAAACAATGTTACTACATAGAAGGGAACAAATTGGTTAATTAAGAAGTGATACGCCACACTTTTCTATAACAACACTTAGGGGTATTTTCCCACGTTTTGGGAAAACCACAAGATAGAAGAGGACCTTCCCAAGCCTATATTTCTATTCTTTCAGGAAAATGAAAACTTACAACATGCTTAAGTGCTAAACAAGCTTACCCTTATTTTTAATTTACCAACGTGTCTATTTATAAAGACACACTCAAACATGGCCTTTGCTTGGATTTTACATCCAAAGGGGTTCTCTTTTAGCAATGGTCAGCCTAACAACATCAGTTACCCTACTGGACCTTGAAAGGGCAGATGAGCAAGAAAGAGTCCAATTTTTCTGAAGTTCCTAGAAATGAAACTGATATTTTGAGCTATATTATCACTTAGTGCTTTAGGTTTTAGGTTTCAAAGATGAATGGTGGAAGGATCGGCAAACAGAAATAGAAGGTAACTTCCAGAGGTGTTTTGTTCACTGCTATATCCCTTGTATCTAGTCTAGAATACTAAATAAATATACTTGGGAAGTGAAACCCTGGGTTTGAAAAGCAGGTACCACTATTGTTTCAAAAAAAGACTATTTTGTAGAGGGCATTTTTGCCTTAAGGCTTTCAGAGAGGTCCTTGACTAGTCTTGAAAGAACTTGTAGAACCCAACTTTGGGCATCATCTTAAAGCTGCTACTTATGTGGTATTGCCCCAACCAAACTACTCTCAAAGGTGAATGGTTGAGGCTAATTTTATATGTTTATATCTGAGGATGTGAAAATCACAACAAGCTTAAAAGGTTCATGCTTTTCAAAACCATTTTGTCCTTATTTGTCCTGGTGAGTGAGAACAGTCATAAAATATACAAAGGCGGTTCTTACATTTTTCAGCCACAGATTTCTTTGAGAATATTATGAATGCTAGAGTGAGCGCACACACACACAGATTTTTAGGCAACAGCGTTCCCCAACTCCTCCCAAAGTTCATTTATGAATCAAGAATTTAAGAACTATTGAACTAAGCAAATGATTCAGTTTACATGGGGATATATGTAAAATATTTACATATATCCAAATATTTAATGACCATTTCATAATTTTTAAATCTTATGCAGTGTACAACTTCCTCCTCCACTTTGATATGAAATTGCCAGTGACCAAGTTCTAGGAAAGGGGTAAACTTGTGTTTTGAATATTGAAGTGACAAATGCTCCTACAGTGTTCTGAAAACCGCTATTTATTGGAAGCAGTTTTATAACTTTTATGTGTTTACAGCAGGGTTGAATTCAATATGACAACTTGACTTGTTGAGTATTATAGACAATTTCTAGTGGAGCTTGTGTCTCGGAAGATAAGGTAACCAGCCAGGGAGTTCACTCATCTCTTAATCTAACAGTACAAAGCTGAGCAACATTCTTTTTACATTCACTAGTCCCTTACTCTGCCAGTGTCTGCTTGTTGTAGGGGACATGGTATTCCATCAAAGGCAGAAACAACACACTTTTGTAGTGGTTACCCTGATCTTAGAGATGAGTGATTTTTACCACGAGTATATTTTACAGGTCAGCTAATAGCTTCATAGGAATTACACATGTATTTAAAAATTACAATAGACAATAACAGCTCACACTTCAAATTGAGAAAAACATTTGAAAGCAACACTTCCTACAGTATGTGCTAGCCTATGAACTTTACTATTCTAATTGAGCTTTAGTGAGGAGGAAAAGGAACTAGGAAAAGAGATTCTCTAAGGCCTAAAGAAACTTCAAATGTCAGGGTTTAAGCAAAGTTATGATTTGTGCCCGGGGTATTGATAAAAAGTAGAGATTAATATGAAAATCTCTCCACTCAGTAAAAATCATGAATTTCAGTATGTAAAGGCATAGGACAACCAAGAGTTTCCTTTTTTGTCCTTCAGCAACCTGACACTTCATCCCTCCTAGCAGCTTTCAACTGGAGAACTATTTTAGTTTTAGATTTTCTTTATTTCTGAGTTTAGGGGTGGAGAGCACCCACAAATGGTCAAATTCTCTCTCCAATTGCAAACGTATTGGCATTTTATTGCCATTGTCCACGTTTCAGTTTTGTGAATGCCCTAACTGAAGAATGAATAATTTCCCTTTCTCTTTCTCCTCTGATCTCTAGTTTCACTCCTAGTCTCTAAAATATTGAATTTCTATGGTTTAGAAGAGTTGTGGTGTCTTTATTTTGCAGGTTCTCAGATTGTTCTCCCTTAAGTCTGGTATCATGTTTCTTTCACCTGCCTAATTCCTTCCTCCCTCTCTCCCTCCCAGTCTCCCTTCCTTTCTTCCCTCCTTCCTGTGGCAATGTTAAGGCTCGTGGTTGTGATACCATTGAATGTGGCTTGTGTGAAAACTGCCTCAGTCGGCTCAGGTAATCTCAGGGACCTTCTTCAGGGCCACAGTGGGGAGGGAGCCTTCTAAACAAAGACGCTGAAGAGAGGGAACTCGGCCTGATTGGGCTGCAGCAGATCAATCAGAAAGCACACCGTCCCAGAGAAGCCTTCATACAAGCTGTATATACTTTCAAGGACACGAGAACCGGCCTTGAATTCCTCAGTAAATAAAAATTCAGCAAACCTAAAGGAAGAAGAAGAATATATGAAGCATTTTAACATTTGTGTTTCCACATTATTGGTTTTTGGGTTGCTTCTTCCCCCTCTCTGCTAAGTTAAAGGTTTAGCATCCTTTTCTTTCCAGAATTGCATAATTTTTAAAAAATATGTCTGTATTGATTCCAGAGAGAGTAAAGGAGAGAGAAACATCAATGAGTCATTGATTGATTGCACACCCCCTGCTGGGGATCGAGCCCGAAACCCGGGCCTGTGCCCTGACCAGGAATCGAACCTTCATCTCCTGGATCCTAGGTCGATGCTCAACCTCTGAGCCACGCCCTATCGTATGAGAATAGTATATTTTAAGAAAGGCTTTTCTCTGTTAAAAACAAAAAACAACAGAGGAGCCATTATATAATTGTGCATGTTTCACAACAAATTATGTTGGTAGGCAAATTCAACTATTTTGAGCGTTTGCAAGGCAAAGCAGTTTGTTTTTTTCTGAGGATTTCATTCCTCTGTCATTCAATAATTAAAAGTAAGAAAGACAGATAGATAAGTAGCCATACTTTTATTTATCTTGAATAGCAAGCTGATATATGGTTGTTCCTTTAAAAAAAGTGAATATGCTATTTTTCTGCAGGCTTGTTATTTCTGAGCTAGGTTTCATTTATATGTGACAGAGAGCAGAGACTGTGTAAATAAATGGACAAGATTTTATACAATCTGTGCTTTGGGTAAACAAAGGAATAAGATGAATGGGAAAAGGCAAACCACATTTTATAATCGTGACATCAAATAGCAAACTCAGCTACAAGATAGATTGTTTTTAGGACATCTGCCTTAAAAATAAATCACTGGCTTCTAAATTCTCTATTAAGAAACTTTATCCTTTTACCAGTACTTGCTACAAATTTTATTTAAATTATTTATAATGAGTAACATTCTTAGTAGTTAACAGCATTTAAAGTGCGGTCACCTATGTCGTCTGTCTACTGATTTGCTCTCCTTATTCCCATCCACAACAAAAATAATCACCAATTCAGAGGCTGGAGCTCATGGGGTAGTAAGGCCTGACAGCTGATACTGCCGTAAATTTAGATAATTGCTAGTACATAGGGGGTCTTAAAAGGAGTAATTACTTATTTGATCTTTTTAAGGTCCTTGGAATTATTGATGACAGCTTAAAATAGATCAACAAGACACATACTGCAATTCTGTTTGGTGCAAATTTTCCATCAACTGTTTTCTTGAATATGCAACAATTTCTAAATAAAATGCAAAATTTTAAATAGTAAAATAATGATGCATCCTAAGGATTCATTAAAAATTTGTCATTTTGCAATGTAGCTTCCTGGTATAGCTTCCACGAGTCTTAACCTTTTTAGTGCAGTGAGTCATTTGGCAGTCTGGACTCCATCTTGGAAAAAAAGTCTCCTGATACATAAAATAAAATACACAGGATTACCAAGGAAATTAATTATATTAAAAAGAACAGCAAAAAATTTAAAACCAAATTTGTGATATAATACATATATTCCTTATTAACACATTAAATAGTAGTGGAGCTAATAACTGTAGACATTTCTAGGTAGTGATGTGAGTAAAATAAATTTCACAATATCTGCAACAAGAGTAATATGATGGCATGTGAATATCTGTGACTTCTATTGGTAACAGAGTCACTGCTACTGCTATTTTCCTGTGGCTTATTACCTACATTCAGAATGGAAAGAAATGCTACATTTCAGTTTGGAATGTAATACTTTCCTTAAGTAAATTCACAAACCCTAGATTAAGAAGTCCTGGTGTAGTAGAAAGAAGAACTTTGAAGTTACGATACCCAACTGGTAATTTCATGTTATATGACTTTTGGCAAATTTCTTAATCTGACTTTAAAATTATAAAGTTGCTCCCTGGCTGGTGTTGCTCAGTGGTTAGAGAATCAGCCTGCACACTGAAGGGTGGCGGGTTGGGCTTCTCAGCAAAGGCACATACCTGGATTGCTGGTTAGATCCCCAGCCAGTCAGGGTGTGTGCACGAGGCANTTGACAGCTTTCTACAGCTTCTATAAAGTTATTTTAACCAGACACTACTAGGGATTTTTAACATATCCATGAGAAAATAAGGGCTTGGAACTTCCTAATCCATCATCTTTCTGCCGTTACCCTACTTTGCCCAGCTTTTTATTTCAAAACATTTTAAGTCCACAAAAGCATTTCACTAAAGGTATAACAAATACCCTTCCTTTTTAGATCCGTAAGTTATTCACATTCTGTCAAATTTGTTTATATCTCTATAAAAAAATACACATTTTTTTATGAACCCTTTGAAAGTAAGTTACTGAGATTATGACACTTAATTTTTAGTATGTCAACATGTATATCCTAATTATAAGGACATTGTCTTACAAAACTATTGCCCTAGCTGTTTTGGCTCCGTAGTTAGAGCTTCAGCCCGTGGACTGAAGGGTCCTAGATTTGATTCTGGCCAAGGGCATGTACGTTGGTTGTGGGCTTGATTCCTGACCCTGGTAGGGGTGCATGTGGGAGGCAACCAATTGATGTTCCTGGCACTCTCACATCCATGTTTCTCTGTTTCTCTCTCTCTCTCTTTCTCTCAACCTCCCTCCCTTTCACTCTCTCTGAAAATCAATGGGAAAAAATATCCTTGGTGAAGACCAACAAAAAAAAAAATTATGAAGTTGCAGAATTGCATAAAGTTATCTGTAAAGATTAAAGATACTATACGTTAGGCTCTGAGCATATAGCAAGCATTTGATACATGGCAAATTTCATTTTTTCACACAAACATATTATAGCAGAGTACTTGTAAAACAAACATTCCACCATACTTTAGAAGAAACCCACAGTTAATTTTGCTCTCTCTTCTTCCAACCTTTTGTCCCTAAGTTTAATTGATTTATTACATTGTTGAAGCTAGTCTGTATAATACTTGGTATCATACATTGTTTAAATTAAAAATAATCTGATAAACATTTTTGTGCTTTTCAAAATAATTTCTAAATGACAGACAACAATTTACAAGCGTACCAGCAAAGTATGTGAGTAGTAGTTTCATTGTATTCTGACCTGTATAGTGTGTTATCATATTAAAGTGAAAATTGTTTCCAAAATCTACAAAATGGTACAGAATTCAAACTAACAAATTCATTTTTCTAAAAAATTCTGTCAAAATAGACGTCAGAATGGTAATTATAGAACTAAAAAGAAATACAGACACTGAGATCATTATAATCAAAACCTGGTGATTATTACCAAAACTAAACTCAGAGGAAAATTCATTGATCTGAGTTTTTAGTTTTTTTAAGAATATGTCTTTATTGACTTCAGAGAGGGGAAGGGAGAGGGAGAGAGAGATAGAAACATCAGTGATGAGAGAGTCATTGATTGGTTGCCTCCTGCACACCCCCAACCAGGGAGTATGCCCTGACCCTGGATCGTAGGTCGATGCCCAACCACTGAGCCATGCAGGCCGGGCTGATCTGAGTTTTTAACTACTATTATTTTATTCGAAAGATGGGAGTTATTCTAATTACGCATTTTTTAAAAACTGTTGAAAATAAAATAAAGGAAAGGAACACTGGAAAGTCAAAACATAGAAAATAATGAATTAAAAAACAAAAGAGAAAAACAAAAAGAATTAATAAACAAAACCAAAAGCCAGTTCCTTGAAAGCAGGAACAACATAGACAAAATGCTGGTGTGTCTGACCAAAAAGGAAAAGAATTAGGAATTCAAAGGGACATATAAGCACAGATATGGAAGATTTAAAATATCATAGAACTATACTGTTAGAGCTTGAAAATCCTCATGAACTAGATGTTTTTATAAGAGTATATTTACTTCCAAAAATTAATTCAAGAAGAAATAGAAAACCTGAAAAATTATATAATCATAGAAGAAACTAAAAAGATTGTTAAATATTTTTCTGTAAATATCAATTCCAACTGTATGTTAAGAGTCATAGGCAATGACCAAGTAATGTTTATTCCAGGGAGGTACATACTGTTTGACATTACTGTCTTAGGAACTGCCAAAATGAAGGAAGTCTTGGGCCACGCTGTATTTAACTTTGAATTATAATGAAGTGGACATTTTCGTGTCCTATGCAATTAAATGCAATGCCCACATAATATTCAGATATTACCTCATCATTTTCATTCTGTAACTGAGAAATTTAAGTTGTCTAAAGAGCCCTGGACTCTAAAACCTTACAACTATGACTCAGTAAGCAAGAACTGGTCTGCCAGAAAATTAAGGGATTGTTCTGACCTTTTAAAATAGACTTTCTAGGACACGACAATCTCTGATGAAATTTATCCCAAAGGTGATATAGCATTAGCCTAGATAAGATCCAAAATGACTTCTTTTTCTACATTTGGGAAATAAAGGATCAGGCTGCAATTTGAACAGATTAGGGAGCCATGAATCAAAATATGTTAACAGAATTCCTAAACAATGGAGCTTCAAACAGAGGACTTACATAAGTTAGTATTTTTTTCTTCCATGCATACACACAAATATTATAAAGGATATTTTATGTTTAACATTGAATATTAGATAAGTTGGCTTAGGAAGACCTCTCTGAAAAAAATGACTTTTGAGTGAAGGTCTGAATGAAGTGAGGGCGCTAGGAGATATATGTAGAAAGTGAGCATTACCGGTGGAAGGAACCAAAACGTCAAAGGCCTTGAGGTAGATTGTACCTGGCATCCTAACAAAATCACATGAAAGCTACTATGGTGGAAAGAACCAAGAAGAAGAAGAGTAGGGGGATGATATCAGAGAGGTAATAGGAAGCAAAATCCTATAGGGCCTTTCGTTCAAAGGACAGACTTTGGCTCTTACCCTGAGTCATATGGGAAGCTAGTGAATTATCCTGAACAAAGGCATGTCACAATCTGACATAATATACACCATATGCAGCAAACTGAAAAGATCACGGTGAAACAGAAAAGTATTCCTAATGAAATCAGTATAAAAGCAAGGATGTTTATTATCCCTCCTATTATTGAACATTGTTTTTGAGATTCTGACCCAAGCAATAGGAAAAATTTTTTAAAAGTATACAAATGAGAAAGAAAGTAACAAAATTATAATTATTTGCAGATAATATGAGTGTCTATGTAGAAAACCAGTGGAATCTAATATAAATTTCATAGAAGCAGTAATGCAGTTCAGTAAGGTGGGCAGATATATCATTATGATATTTATCAAAACTAAGATGTTTATAAGATGCAATGCAGATGTGTATGAAAGAAGTGCCTCTTCTTAGACTGCTAAACTGCAATAATATGTATGTTTTAAAAGTTAGATTAACATTTAGAAAAAAATTACATGTGAAGAATGGCTGACCTTTGGGCTCGGTAGATGTATTTAGAGTTTCCTGTGAGCCGATATAGCAGCAGGAAGACATAGGCACTGCCAGCCACACCATGGCAAATTCCAGGCCCCTTCTTTAGCAGGCCCTTCTGCCACGTGAGTTCCCCACACCGGATACATGTGTCCAGGTACTGTGGTTTCTTGGAAACCAGATAAGCTTTGGCAAACAGATAGGCAATTCCTGTAAAAACATCAAAGACATTAGAGGTGACTTTTAGGGCTTAATACTATAGAGTAGAATTTCTCAAACTGTAAAAGGCTTACAAATCACCAGTGTATTGGTAAAATATCCATTTTATTCTGGTAGGTATGAGGTGGGGCCTGAGATACTGCATTTCTAACAAGTGTCCTGCTGGAGACCACATTTTGAATAGCAAGGTTATAGAATCTCCTACAAGGGAGTCTTATTTTACCTGTAAGATTCATTTTAAGCTATTTGAATTGTATTATGGTGTTGGTCCCTGGAGAAAGATCAACAAGTTCATAGATTGATAAAATCCATAATTTATAAATTAATATTTAATGATGCATACTCTAGTAAGCATTATGCATACCTGGCTATTTGGAATGACTGAATGTTTATAGTTTGCCCATTTTGCCCCCCCATGCCAAGGTTCAGAATTTGTAATGTTAAAGTACTTAAAACTATACACTTTTTCTTAAGAGCAAAACTGAGAGTCCTGCCAGAACCAATAATGGTCCCAAATGACTTGGCCAAGACTTCTAATCCAGCTATGAAATGAGTTCTTCCCAACTTCATTGTTTCAAGGAAAGACATTTTCCTTTAAGACTTCTCAACAAAAGAAATCTCAATTACACAAGCAGGAACAGAAACAAGAGAAGTGATAACTATTAGAAACATTTCCCCCAAGTTTTAGGTGCTCACATTCATTGAGGAGATTAGTAACCCAAGATCACTCTCTCTCCTGCATGGCTACCTCACTCCTATATAAAGTAGAAAACACTGGAATTTAGTAAGTATCTTAACTAACTCATCGAGGTTCTCTCTACCTTTCATTGCCTTTGACTAGGCTCTTTTACAACTCTAGAAATAGGATTACTGTGTAGAAAACTGAGTTATGTAAAGAACTCCTGTCCCTAGAAACTCGCATTCTGTCTGATAGAGGTTGGATTGACTTCCCTCAGCCTTTGTGGAAGCAGCAAGTTTTGCATCTACCAAGCAAATTCATGTCAGCATTCCTAATGGCCTATAAATACATCTGCTCCTTGGATTTTCCTTTGAACCAGTTGTAACACCTTTCTGGTTCCCTTATTAATTAATGAGCAAACAAAATTATTACATATGTTTCTTTTATATTTGTATGAGAATCATGACTTTATTTTTTAAAATTTATTCTTTAACACTTTCGATGATTAACACATAACAGGTTCTCTTCAACCAATACTTTCCAGTCAGCCACAGAAAATGGTAATCTATAGCATTGTCCTCCTTCAGTTTTAAGGAACAAAGTGTCTCCCACCAACTAAAGGATGATTTTAAAAGAAATGAACTGATTTAATTATATATCTATTCATTCACTGTATCCATTCATTTGAAAGTGTTCATTGATTATCTACTATATGCATAGCCCTAGGCATGGCTGGCTTCATGGGCATTTGTACAGTGTTACAAGGACCTGATGCTGTGTTTAATACTCTACTGTTGCCATCTTGAAATTCTTAATCATTTTTAAAAGAGGGGCACATTTTCATTTTGTACTGGGGCCCCTAAATTATGTAGCAAATCCTGGCCCTGGGTGATACAAAATAAGTGCTAAACATGATTCTTGCTCTTTAGGAAGGCAGTGTCTAGAAAGGGATAAAAAATATATACATGTGACTGACACATAACAGGCATGTAGTTCATGATGCTGTTGGAGAATAAAATGAATGCTGCTGTCAATTATATGAAAAGGATCAGAAAAGTGTAAGTTCCCTGAGGTAGACAGTCAGGTGAAGTAGGGCTTTCTTCAGTACTTTGTATGATGCATAGGAAATTCCAGGCCCAAGGTTAGGGAGAGAGAGCATTTTAGGCATTATGATCAGCAAGGGCAAAGATTCAGAGCCTGGACAAACAAACTTCTGAAGACCAGTGGGACAGTTTCTAACCAACAGGACAGTGGGGTGGGAGGGTAGGCTAGGTTCACATTTGGGATGGTTTCACAAGTCCAATTAGGCGATTTGGACTATAATTCTGTGGGAACAGGGAACCAACCAGTGGGAGTGTTTTTGTTGCAGATTGGCTGCTTTTTATTTTTAATGATATGGTTAGTATTATAAACAAAATGTCCACCTTGGTATCAGGAGAGACCAAAAGAAGGGCAATGGGTTAGCTATGAGCTGATCATGTTGGCAGAAGGATGACAAAGAAGCTAACGAAAGAGACAGCTCACAGGATTTGGTGGCTGTTTAGATATTCATTGAATACCTATTATATGCCAGGCACAGTAGTAGGTGCTAAGGCTTTTAAAAGTCCCTGACTTCATAGTGTTTACAACCTAACTGGAGGCATTAATTAGGCTATATGAGGGGGAAAATAGGCTATGTGGAAGCACATAAGAAGGCTCCTAACCCACGCTTGGAGGTAAAATAGTCCGTGAAGGGGACTGACACCATCTAGCCTGACTACCAAACAATGAGGAGAAATTAACCAGGTTAATTGAAGGCCCTTGGTACTCTGCTGGATCCCCTTGACCTTGTCAGCAGGTGCCCCATCTCCCAGTTGCTATGAGCTGGCTGCTAACAAAGTTCACAGCTGCCCTCTTCTTGGGAGATTTGCCTTCAGTCGAATGGGAGGCTAGACTATGTGCCCATTCCCCAGCACATTTCAGCCAAATGACTGACACAGTGGTACAAAAGGTCAGCTCCCTACCTCAAGACAAACCACTTCTATGGTGTAATCTGTGCCTCTTAGCTTCCCCTCAAAATCCAGGTGAAGCTAGTCTCCAGGTGATACACAGAAAGCCCTTTGTGACCCAGTTCCTACTTTGTTCTCCTGCCATTTCTCCTCTATTCCCTACTTAAAATTTTCCACTTCAGTAAAACCAAACTATCCACAGTTCCCCTTCCTTCACTATGTGGTCCCATGCCTCTGATCAACTTTTATAGGCACAAATTTTCCACCTTTCTTGGACTAGCCAACTTATCTCATGCATCACCTCCTCCAGGAAGCCTTCCCTGAACCTGGAGGAGCAGCAGGAATCCCACCTCTCAGCTCCCACCACTCCCTATAGAAACCTTAGCATTTATACAGTATTACATTAAAATTCTCTGTGTACACGTCTGCCTCCCCTAGTATAGTGCAAACTACCCAAGGGCAGGACCTCTATCTTGCTCATTTTTGCTCCCCTAGTTTGTGGCATGGTATTTGACACATGCAAGGGGTTCACAAATGTCTGCTGACCCTATAATGCCTCATTTCTCACCCCAGCACAGGCCAACACTGAGCAGACATGAGAGATGTGGAAGAAAGATAGGATGAGATGGTCCAATTGCTATACCAGGCCGCTAACCCCAGGCAGCTAATAGGTGTTGATCCTATGGTTCTGGCAAGAGAGAAAGGGCCTCTTCCTGCAGTCTGGATCACAGAATTCTACATGGAAAGGAGCTTGAAAATCTTCTAAATCTATTGTCTTCTAACCAGACCTAATGAAATCCACAATAAGACTGGTTAATCTAGATGGAAGGAATGTTGGATTTCTTTGATTTTGATGGGAACTGTCATTTCATCATGGGAATGCTAAGGTACATTGATGTTAAAAAGCCTGAGTCAGCAACTATATACACCTTCGACAAAGACAATTGGAGAAAGGAATTGTTACTTAAGAACTATGGTTTTAGAGACTAAATCTTTGAAAACATGCACTCCAGCACAGTCTTGTGACAGAGAGACTTGGCACATACAGTTTCAACATACTGGGGGTCACCAGGCAGGTCCATTCTGGGGCCAGTAATTTCAAGGAGTCACATATTGCACAGTATGCACTACAAAGCTTAGTGACAATGACATCTGTACTGCACAAGCCCTTGTTCTCAATTCAAAGGTACCTACCCAGGAGCCTTTTTGGAATGATTTTTTAAAAACAGCCACACCTGTGTTTCACACAGAGGAAAGGAAACGCACTGTCAGTGTTACCACAGTGATGATGTAACATAATGCAATCCAGAGTTTATTTTAGCCGAGACATTTGTTTTAATGATTTTTAAATGACCTTCGTCCTGTATTTCAGAATCATTAAGGCTATGATGAGGTCATATGAATCTGCCTGTTATATTTCATTGCATTTAGTGAGAAAAAGTATACTCCATACTTGGTATTTATATATGTGGTGTCTGCAAATATTTGGGGATATATCCCACAGGGATGGCAAAGGTCCACAGGATAAAAACGGCCTGTGGTAATAAAAATATTGATTTTCACTACTCCATCCCAATGTGCTCCTTTCACAGATGCAGGAATAAAGGTACAAAGGAAACAAAGTGGTTTCCCTCAAGGTGACAAGGTAGCTGGTTAGTGTCAGAGCTACAAATAGAGCCCAGTGTCACTAACTTAGAGTCAAGAACATTTCTACACTGCATAAATGATAACTAAGGCAGTCACCTGTAGAAGTGTGTTGAAGGAAAGTCAATAGGAAACAATTATAGGGGGAAATAAAATATCATTGATGAAGTTCCACATTGTGGATTATCTCTGGCAGGTTTTTAATCACAGAATCAGTCTGCTGTCCCAAACCATCTTACTCTCAAAAAATATTTTCCTCAAACAAGTGAAAATTATTTTTCAGGTCATCTCTTGTTTATAATTTTTGGAGTTTACTGTTGTCAACTTCAGATAGTCTTTGACCTGTGATTTTCAGATTTATAATCACTTTTGGTGCTGTTTCTAGCATGTCTCTTAAAAGGAAGACCAATACCCTCGAGGGTTGGCAGAAATAATAGGCCCTATTTGATTCTTTATTCATTTGTAAATTAGTTTATTTTTGGTAGTCCAATGAATATGTGGGTTGAATGGTTTTGCTTTGCAACCTATGTTTAATCTTACCAAGATACTGAACATGAATGATACATGAGGATAAATAAAGTCCTCAAGGTGATGAATCCTATGCTGTACTATTATGGTACATGATTTACGAAGACAGATGGAGTATGAGGTACAAAAAGGATGGAATAAGTGCCCTTCAAGACACACACATCAATTAACTGATCCACTCATTTTAGTAGATTATGTTCCCTTTCTTTACAGGGCTTTTATTAGTACAACTGAGTCTTTTAAAAATATCCTGTATTTAACTTGGTACATCTCCACAATTCAAGGATCTTGGGGTGCTTAGAGGGTATTCAGAGACCATCACTGAAAATGATGAAAGAGAATGGGAAACGGGATTGTTGAGCGTGACATGAAGATATATCATTTCCAGAATGATAAATAACTGTTATTTTTCTCCAAAAAGTTCAAAGCAAGAAGAAATGAGCTCAAATTATAACTGGTGGAATTAGCCTAGACATAATACACAATGTTCTGGCACTGGTACAAGTGCACATAGGAACCTTTGAAGTCCCTTCCTTAGGTAAAAGTGGCAGGCAGTGAAAAAATGGCCAATGGACTAAGACTTGTATTATTAATCAACTCAAACTGTACCAAGGTAAAATGTGAAATTATAGGTGGATTGAAGAACACTGATTAGGTAAGGAGGGGGAAGGAGGTAATAAAAACCAGGTAACAAACTAAGGAAAAATCAAATATATTTTATAGCTATGCTCATAGTATTGAGACATAGCTTTGAAAATTAAATCCATTCCTAATCCAGCATTTTTGTTATTTTGTTATTTTAAATCTTTCACCTGGCCATTCAACCAAAATTAATTGATTTATTTGAATTTAACTTCCTTTGACTTGCCCCTTCTTTGAAAGCCTAATTAGCAGTGTCATGGGATTTAAAAAAAAAGGAAAAGATGGGGTCTGATAAGTTTCTAGGCTCAGTTCCAGAGAGTTCACTGCAGATGGCTTGTCATTCCTCTAGACTTTTTTATTAGGTGATGATGGAAATCTTCATTTAGAAAATAATTCTAGAACAGTGCATCTCAAACTCTAATATGCATACTAATCTGCCAGGGATCTTATTAAAACACAGATTTTGAGTCAGTAGATTTGGGCGGGGCCTGAAATTCTGAGTTTCTAAAAAGCTCTCAGGCTGCCCACGCCACTAGTCCAGGGACCACATTTTGAAATGCCAGACTCCAGATCTGCACTGCTGAAGGTAGCTAGTGAGTACTTGCAATGTGGCTAGACTGAATTAAGGTAGAATTTAAGTATAAAACATACATTGGATTTCAAAGACTTAAAATGAAAAAAGTGAGAAAGCTCTATTTTTAAATTGGTTGCATGTTAAAATAATATTTGGGGCATATCGTGTTATATAATATGTATTATAAAATTAATTTCACCTGGTTTTTTACATTTTTAATGAAGCTACTAAAATTTTGATTTCATATGTGGCTCATAATATATTTTATTGCACAGTGTTAGTTTTATTCATATGCAAATACATATCGATTATATATTTTTTAAAATACAGGGTCATTTCTGAAGATGCTTTACAGATCAAGCCATCCATGGCTTTAAATCTTTCATATTAACCTTTTTATGTCATGTAATAATAATCTAAGATGAGAAATAACCTCACTTCTCAGAAGAGGCACCTTTCTTTGGCTAAGCCTGATGAAAGGCAATGTTTTCAGATAATAATGAGTGTGAGACCTGGGGCGCCGTGGCACCAGTGCACCAGCTCGTTCTCTCTCTCAATGGCCTCGCCAAGCTCAGGTGGCCAGTTGCAGTTCTGTTCCTGCTCCATGAGGAAGTCCACACTCTGCCACACCAGCTCCTGATCTGAGGGCTTGATGTGCTCATAGTAAGAAAGAAGCATCTGGAGAATGGACGACAGGCCATGAGCTGCTCCTATATTGACAAACAAAGCATAATTAATACACGCAATTGGGAAGAGAGCCCGCTTAATTTAATGAAAAGACAATCATAGTATAAATAAAAAGAATGGCAATTACTTGCAAGCATACACAGTGATATAATAATTGAGTCACCAAAGAACTAGGCTTCTGGGAACACAGAGGTTAGAATAGGGGTTGACAAACTACAGCCTGCAGGCCAAATCTGGCTAACTGCCTGTTTTTGTAAATAAAGTTTTATTGAAACACACTATGCTCATCCATTGGTCTACTGTCTATGGCTGCTTTTGTGCTATAATGGGAGAGTTATATTTGTGATAGAGACCACAGGACCCAAGAAATCTAAAATATGTATTATTTATCCCTTTATATAAAAAAGTTTTGTAATCAAACCCTGTTTTAAAGAAAATATATTTTCTAAAAACTTTGCAATTAACATATTGATAGCTTTTATGAAAATGTTCTTTTATGAAAATGATTTGTTCTTAGTATCCTAAACATTCTTTCATTCATTCATTCACTCATTCATTCAACACATAAGAATTATGTGCCAGATACTGTTTAGGGCTGAAGATAGATCAGTGAACAAAACAGACTAAATCCCTTCTATATTGTTCAAAGTAGGGAGTTGGTGGATGAATACCCCAGCTTCCTCACCCCTTGGATGGGACAATTCTAGTGCATGTTCCATAAAATCTGTAAGAATCCCCAGTAGAACTGAGCCTCAGTTTTCCACAATTGCTCATTACTACAACTTCTGTTAACTTCTTTGACTACCCTGTCTCACTTCCTCATTTCTCTATCAACACTTTCTCAGATCACCTCCCAAATAAACCATTTACACCTTGTCTCAAGGTTTGATTCTAAGGAAAGCTAGACAGGAATTTAAAGGCTCTTTTAGAAAATTCTCAGAGAACTGCCGGTCTATAAGCTCATTGTTCATCAGCCAGGTATTCATTCATTTGGGTACCCTCATTATGTACATGCTCTTGGTAAAGTTCCAGAGATCACAAAGATAAACAAGAGAAAAGGCCTTATCCTGAAGGTGTACAGAGTCCGTTAAGGCTGCTGGGCAGGTAAGCCACCAATTATACAATCCAATGTGATAAGGGCTCCAATAGAAGTGTGGCAGGGTAACATGATATGGCCCAATTTTGCTTCAGGGCAAAACCTGAACCAGTGAAGGTTTCTCCAGAGAGGGTTCAATAAACCCATTTTCCAAAAGCACAGAGTTTCTCAATAGATCTAACGATGTTTGAGCAGAGTCTTGAAGTCTGGGTATAAGTATTACAAATAGATGAAAGGGTTGGGAGAAGCCAGACATTCTAGGCAAAAGAAACAGTCAGAAAGGTTACAAAGATATGAGAACATTTTGCTTGTAGCAGACTATGCTGGACAGAACCAGCAAGGAAAGGAGATAAAGTTTGAGTTGGGAGAAGGAGGAGGTGATCGACGATGGGCCTTGCAAATCCATGCCCAGGGGTAAGAGGAGTAACTAATTTTCACTTTACGTGCCTCATAGCTCAAAAGTCACCATTGTTATTCAGTAGTCTGTTATTAATTCATTAATATTAAACCTTGAGAATGTTAGTGGCTGCATCCTGTTTCCCTGTGCAGAGGCACTACTTGCAATGAGTGTGTAAACTGTTCACAAACTCAGCAAAATTAGGCCAATGAACTCACAATTTAGAATACAGAAATTAATTGTTAAAATTCTACATTTATATCAGGTAGACTGTGGAAACAAATATTAAATTGTAGTTTGTTATCTCGATCACTATTTATTTTTAATGGCATTTTAATGTATTTCTACATAAATGAATAGTGACGAGCTATCTCAAAAACAAATCTTCCAGTCTTTAGTCAATGCTGATATTAGAGAGTCCCTTCATCCTTCGCGAACACCTTCACTCACCCAAGTATTCAGTTCCATAGTAAGAATACATCAGGGGGAATGGTTTCCTCTTTTTCATGGCATACTGCTTCCCAGAGTCAAGAATTGCTTGGCAAATTGACTTGATCTGTGCTGGGGTAAGCACCTGTGTAAGGAAATCAAGAAGCAGAAGTCAAATCAGGATCTTTTCCCCCAGATACTGGATTTTCTTGCTTAAAAAGCCCATCAGCATATCCCCCAAATATCTTTTCCTAGGAGTAAATAAGCTTCAACAACCGTAACACTTTAAACCACCGATTCTCTCCTTGTCATTTATCTACCATCTTGAGAAAATTTGCTGTTTTGAGAGGAAATACACACCTTTACTGCTATCCAGCTTTTATAAAATGTAAAGACCACCTTACAGTTCTGATATCATTAATCCTTGTCACAGGAACAAGAAATTGCTCAGAAAAGAACAAAGACTGGTCCTAACTGATTGTGCTTAACAAAGCTGTTATTCCTGGTGCATGGTGTAGATTAGACCCATACAATGGGCCTTCAATCTGTGTCATTTAGACAGTGCTCATAAAGCCACAATTCTATGACAAGATGCTGCATGACAGACTCACTTGTGGCCTTTGGCATTCCTGAATGAAACTAAAGTCCAATAACTACCAAGGCAGAAAAACTTTTAATATCAAAATGACTCTGAATAGAGAACGCCCAAAATGCAATGATTTGCAGTTGTCGACATTTTTATTCAATCTAATCATTTTTAGGACTATAGAGATTAAAATGTTCTCAAGCCTACAAAGCATCAGTGAGTTTATTAGGATTATGCTCAGGTTTGTGATGTTTTCTGCCTTCCACTCTTCCTCTGGGCAGATCAGATGCGCCCTCTGATACACTCCTGTATCACCACAACTCCTTGGTGTAGCACTTACCTGCTGGTGTATTATGTCTCTCTCTACTAAACAATCAGTTATTTGAGGGCAAAGACTGTGGAATCTCATCATTTTGGTATCCTTGGTTCCTAACACAGAAACTAAGAGGGTCTTTGGTAACTGATGAGTGAGTAAGTAAGAGCCATGTTTACTGGCATGAGAGGCAGGGCCATCCCTGTCCTCTTTCCTTTATTCCCTCTCTAACTTCACCCCACCATCTCTCTTTCCCTTTCTTCCACAATTATGTCTTAAGCCTCTACTGTATGCCAGAAAAGCCTACTCTAGATGCTGGAGAAACAACAGTGAACAAAATAGACAAGACCTCTGCTCTAATAAAGTCAATCTTCCCAAAAGGCAGACCTGCACAAGGAAAGTACCAGAGTAAACACACACACGCATACACATACACACACACACACACACACACACACACACACACACACACCCCACCTAAAATTCAGCCTTGGTCTGGTTGAATGAATCTGGGATCAAGGAAAAAAGTGTATTGGATTTTTTGGCCTCTTTCCTAAGACATAAAATTTTCCTACCTGATATCTGACGTCAGACTCACTAATTCCTTCTGAAATAAAATACTAATGACTTCTTAATTCATAACTTGCTCCTCTGATATACCCAACATTAGAAAAGTAAAATATAATCCAGGTTTGGGCCTTCTGAAATCTAGCATTTAGTTTGGAAAAATAATTACATAAAGAGAAAGCTGTTCATTAATTAATTCTGCCAATTAACATTTACTGAGCTACTAGTCCAGTAAGGCCCTGTACTAGGTATTGTGGGGTAAATTCTAGAAATCCAGGACACATTTTTCCTTACTGGAAATTTACTATCCAGCACTGGAGATGTGAAATAAGCAAAAGTCTACAATAGAGCAATTAAAGTTCATGAACCCAGGGATGGAAAGAAACAGTAATACAGAGTATTGTACTCAGCTTCCCTAAGATTTAACTATCTCCTCAGTTTCCAACTGGTGGCTCAGAAACAATTATAATGTGGCTTTTGACTTCAATTTTTCTTTAATTAGCTACCTTTTTTGTCTCTTGCGTTTACTCCTCCTTTCTGCCTAAAATTCCCAAATACCCGACCTTCCCATGCATTCCCAGTATCATTTCAAGCTCCAACCTCAGGTCTTTCTTTAGCTGAAGAACAATTTTCTCCTAAATGATTCCCTACTCTGCATCTATTTAAATTGCTACCAAAATTTTCATTTGCTATTAAAAACATCTTACTTTTTAAGCCTTTATCAGTAACAACTGATCTTACATTTAGTCTTACTCTACTTAATATCTGGCATCACCAGTCTCATATCAACCTCTCCATCTTGGCTCACTCTCAGAAACCAGCTAGAAGCCTTGAAGGACATGAACTTAATAAGAATCTAACCTGGTCCCATCTCGTGTTTTCCTGGGAATATATCTGGCCCTTCAGCTGAACTTAGGTCCTATCTACCAATATTGGTCTTGAATCCATGTGACAGAGGCAGTTGTTGTTTTTAAATATATCTTGTTTGTGTTTTTAAATATATCTTTATTGATTTCAGAGAGAGGAAGGGAGAGGGAGGGAGAGATACAAACATCAGTGATGAGAGAGGCATTGATCGGCTGCCTCCTGCACACCCCCGACCGGGGATCGAGTCCACAACCCGGGCCTGTGCCCTGACCGAGAATCGAACCGCGATCTCCTGGATCTCTGCCGATGCTCAACTGTTGAGCCACGCCCGGCCAGGCCAGAGGCAGTTTTTGTGATAGGAAAAGGTCACTGAATTTGGGGGGTATGTACTCATTTGAATTACTAAAATTCTCCCTATTTCATTCCTGTGGTAATAATTGAAAACCAGCTTATTCTTTCCTCAGTCGAATATTTATTCATATATTCTTCCCCCTTTCTGTGTGTATGTGTGAGTGTGTGTTCGCCTGCTTGTTATTAACCCAGAAAAAAAATCAACTTAGGTTATATGTGGTGCACTCCCCCGTTCTTTCCATCCCTAATCCTTAGCTCAGAATAGAGAATGAGTTTATATTTCAAAGCATCCCCAGTCATGTATCATGACTGGGTAGTTGCCTCTTATCTCTCTGGAACACTGTGAAAAACAAAGAAAAACTGTGCTTGTTCGGCATGATAAAGACCAGTTATGCATGCAGTTCTTTATCTCTGGGAACAGACAAGACGTACCCTTGGGTTTACTGATCAGTAAATAAAAAGTAAGAATAGTGCTCATTAAAAGTGTGTGGAGAGGAACATTGAGTGCTCTTCCTCCCACCCCAAACTAACAGTACAGAAAGAAGAAAGGAGATCAGAGGGGAGTGGCCTTCTCTTGTTTCTCATTTGTCTGCTTTCTCAGACATCCGTCCATTTCCTCCTTCCAGCACATAGGAACACACGTATGTGCACACACTACCTCCAAGAAGATGGCCTCTGTGCTTTTGAAACACTCTAAGGCCCTGGGAATGAGGAAATGGCATTGCCAGTGGGGAAAAAAGTGACTGGGGATGGCAAAGGGGAGCTCCCAGCCCATTATGCCTTTCGCAAAACAAACCCAAATTCCCTCTCCTGAATGTGGAGCACATAAGGCCTATGCATGTGTTGATATCTTAGATGTATTCGGTTCTTTAAATAATTTTTTTACATTGAATTAAAATAAATTAAGATATCTCAAAACTGTGAAGTAAGTCTGTGGCAGTTTGGTTCAAACAGTTTCATTAGTTTAACCAACTCCAATCACCGATCCTCAGAAATGTTTGTCGTGAAATATTCCTTTTGGGCTGGGCTCTGAGTATGAAGAGACGAGAGAGCTATGAAGCCCATGTTCGGTTTCTTGGCCCTACCAGAAGTTTGTGCTGTTGCTTAACCACCTCCACGCCAAGGAGAAATGACCTTTGTTAAAGACAAGAATGAAATGGACTAAGCCCCCAAAAGTTTGCCTCGCTGCGGACCCCTTTCTAGGGCAAGTATCCTGCCCACAGGCACTCTGAAGTTGAAGTCTTTGCTAGCTACACATCAACCACCGCCAACATTATCAAGCAATAGTCCAAAATGCCCTGAGTATGTGACTGCCCTTCTACATGGAATGCAGAAATAATTCCAATATCATGCCAAACACATATGTAACAGAGTAAGAATTTGGCATTAACTTAGGTGTCCTTTTCCAGCAATGTATTTCACCCCAATTCTTTGTCCCACCATTCTGGTGGTAGCACAGGCTTCTGCTCAGAGAAAGAAACAGCCATTTGACTATCACTGAACATCAAAATGACTTTTGATACCCAAGGACAGTAGCTTTGAGGAGAAAGGCTTTTGAGTTGTTAGAACCTTGGTATTTTAGTACTTAAAGTAGGTACCATATCAACAAGACAAGTAATAGTAAGTGTTGGAGAGAGTGTGGAGAAAAACAGTCTCATTCACTGCTGGTGGGAATATAATCTGGTACAGCCATTATAGAAAAGAGTATGGAGGTTCCTCAAAAAAATAAGAATAGACCATGACCCAGCAACCCCTCTTCTAGACATTTACATGAAAATTTTGAAAATATTTATTTGCAAATATATATGCACCCCTATGTTCACTGCAGCATTATTCACAGTGGCCAAGACATGGAAACAACTGGAATGTCCTGCGATAGAGGACTGGATAAAGGAGATGTGGTACAAGTGCACAATGGAATTCTACCCAGCCATAAGAAAGGAGGAAATACTGCCTTCTATGACAACAGGAATGGATCTTGAGAATATCATACTAAGTGAAATAAATCAGACAAAGTAAAATAACACATGATCTCATTCATACGTGAAATATAAAACTGAAAGTAACAAATGAACAAACAAGACAAACAAAAACCCACAGACACAGACAACAGGTTACCAGAGGGAAGGGAGGTGAGGGGAAAGTGGTAAAGGGTAAAGGGGGATCAAATATATGACGACAGAAGATTTGACTTTGGGTGGTAAACACACAATGCAATATAAAGATGATGTATCATAGAATTTTACACTTGAAACCTATATAATTTTATTAACCAATGCCACCCCAATAAATTTAATTTAAAAAACCAATACACTTGAAGGCTATATAGAGTCAGGATGGATCTAAATGCTGTTCATGTTGGGAACAGTTGACATGAAAAATGAAACAGGGAGTTGAAAGTTGGTGTGGGGGTACCCTTGTGCCAAACTTTAGAAGAGATCCTATAATCCCCCAGATGTTT